GCTGATGCCACGACTTCAGCTGTTACTGAAATAAAAATAATTCGAAATTTTACATGAACGATAAAAAATTCGCAAACTATAAGTGAAAATCTCAAGCATTAATTTCGATAATAGTTCAACTGTTTGCTTATTTTTTAAACGTGAAAAAAGAAAACCTCCTCTTACAAAAATAATAGGATAGCACAAATAACACTAATAATGAAACGTTAGTTATAGCATGGTGTAAGGTAAACAACCATATTATCTCAAAAACAATCTTAAATCTTGGCCTCAGCTATTTTTTAAGTATTAACTGCAGTCCTCTCACTTGAAAAAAGTAAGTATAATATTTCAGTAATTACAGATGTAAAACAAGTCATATAATAAGGTGCAAAAAGAATACTTTGGACTTTAATTTTGACATAAAAAGAACCTTTTATAAATAGATCATAACAGTATATACTTCTATCACCTTCTAATTTCTAATTCTCATTCAATTACTGAATCCAAATTCTCAATTTTTATAAGCGATGTATTACGAAAGTAACTATTTTAGAAGAAAATGTACTAACCAGCTTCCAAATTGAGCTGTTCTGCAATTTCGGCAAATCGATGAATTTTTAAATCGAAATGAGTAATGTATGTAGTGGATGTTCGATCCCAAATACTCGGATCTTGTCGTATAATATTGATCAGTTCGAAAATTGCTTCTGAACCACCAGCCGTTTCGACTTGTTCCATTGATTACTATCCGATTGAATCACCTAGAAATATTTCGCATATATTTCTAAATAAGAAAATAACAGTGAATAGAATAAATTCGTATTAATACGTTGTAAAAAGGTTCATTTTATATATGAATGAATGAATGCTACACGTATATCTCCAATAATTGAGTAAATAAAACAAACGGATGTACTATTATTGATTTTGAAGAAGCCATCAGTGCAAATCGGCTATTACTGAGTGCAGTATGAAGATAGTGCAACTGCATGCAGCAATGAAACTGCATACTTGTTAAACGAGCTGAAAAAAAAAGGCAGTTAGACATGAAAAAAAAAAAAAGAAATTATTTGATTCAATGATTGACTGAATTAATCTCGCGGTTAAATTACTACTATGACTAAGAAAAGTGTTATTATTACTAACAGAGTGTTCCGTGAATGTCTGAAACATGCGGAATTTTCAGAATCTCAAATTACACATAATATATTATAAGAAATATCATAAATGTGATTAATATCAACAAAATGCTGACTGAACGTAATTTACGGTAGTGATCAATTCGCTTCCCTTGAAATGTTAAAATGAATATAAAGGTTAGATGCAAAAATTAAAAGAAAGAAAAAAAGAAACAAGACGCATGCTAATCCTTGCATCATTATTTAAAATTTCAAATTAGAACTTTTATCAACCAAAAACACCAAGCAATATATTATTTGGAATCAAAAAATGTGAAATAATATACTAATCCGGAAAAAGAAATCTATGAGATAATACAAACAATCCGGAAACTGAATTAACAAATAATTTAAAATGTACAAAATGACATGCAAGTATGATCCTACTTCAGCATTACAACCGTTGGAGTGCACACATATACGTAAGTATACATGTATGTGTGTATGTCTTCTCTATGTATGTGTATGTATGTATGTGTACGTACGCACAGGCGGGTGCATGGGGGAAGGGAAGTAATACAAATTTATTGCAATGTACTTTGTGTGCATGTGCGTGTGTGTGTGTGTCTGTCTGTGTATGTGTATATGTATGTATGTGTGCATGTATGTGTATGTGTGTGTAGTGTTATAAAGAGTAAGTGAAGTGAGGAGAGTAAAAAGATATACGTTAAATGAGAATGATGATTACCAATATTACCAATTAGATTATTGGACATAAACTGCAAGTTGCGTGTTACGTGCAAGTAAATATAATATTAACAACATCGATCAAAGTAATACTTATTGAGGAATGCATGCAATATATGCATTACTGCATTGCATGCTATATAAAATGCTATGTGAGAAAATATTAAAATAATAATAATAACTAATTGCTAATAAACAAGTAAAATTTGTAAATAAAAAAATGCATGATATGACGTCTTTTTGCATTATGTATCGCTATTGTAAGTAAACAAATTATACTTTTTAGTAATTAAATTACTAATGATAATTTATATTAATAATTAATGGATAACTTAATAATGTTGTACAATTGAAAAAGTTTATTTTCAAATTAAAATTTATAACAATTAGATATATAGTAATGATATACTATATTCATATTTCCTATGTTTTTTTTTTTTTTTTTTTTTTTTTTTACATGAATTTCAATTATGTTAATTTATTATTCTAAATGAAAAAAAGTTTTATTTGTGGCAGTGTAATACAATATAAAAGCATTTTTATACGATATTATTTGAAGCACTTTTAGCAGTCAGAAAATAGAGCACACAAATACATATTTATTGTATACACAATTAATAAGTTAGTTTAAAAAATTTGAAACCAATTATGTTTTAAATTTGCTGCACATACACGTTTTTGTAAAGCATAAACAAAATGTAAAGAGATTAATTACGCATAAGCAAGTAAGCAAATAAACAAACAAACAAATAAATAAACAGATAAACAGTACTACATTTAATGCAATATCAGTTTAATGATAACAGTATCAGCATTTAAAAACTTCATTAATTTGAGATCAATCAATTATACTAACAAAAAATTTCAATGATATCAACCAAGCGTCTTATCTATAGACTAAATAACTAAGTTGATTTAATGTTAGAAGTAAAATGATAAAAAAAAACCATACTTAATCCGTATCCGGCATTTGGTCTTAATGAATTATATTATCGTAAATGATTGAAGTATATTACCAGTAAATTAATTAAATGAATTAATAAATTTAATCAGTTTTTATAAAAAACATTACAAAAAATTGCTACTTTTTTATAGAACTTACTATAAATAAAAGAAAATAATGAAAACCTAGTAAATAGTGTTAGCTTAGTCTATCTACAACACATATCCTATTGTTAAAATTGGAAAAATTTTTTTAATTTTAACTTTTTCTTTTGAATTTTTTTAATTGGAGAAAATTCTAAATAAACCCTATATGTTGTATACAGCCATTTATTATTTTTGTTTATTTGTCCAATGTTTATTGCAACAATAATGCTAAAAATTGAAATAATTGCAGTACCCTGTAATAATTATGAGTGCGATATATTTTTCAAAAACTTTTTTTAACATTAATTTAAAAGCAAAATAATCGATTATTAAAATATTGTCATACTAATTAGCAAAATATTACTGCATAGGGCATTTCGACTTCGAATATAACCGATTTCATATACAATCACATTTATTTGCTGAGATCAATAATGTTTATAGATCGAGTTATACAAATATGCATTACTTATATTAAAAAATATTGTGCAAATATTAATGAGATCATTATTGATTAATTTAAAAAATAAACTTTTAATTTCCTCTTTTTTTTTTAAATTTCAAAAAATTTTTTGATATATATTGACAGAAAAAATTATAAAAAATAAACAAACTCATGGGAAATACGTACGTTAATTTGATTTCAATAGCATTCAGATAATTTATGAATAATCAAATGTATCTATCTATGATTTATGACTCATCACTAATAATTATGCTAATTAAATAAAATCTTTCATCTTATTGCTTTCATTTTCCATGTTATTAATTATATACGATTTATCTTCAATGAGATAGCATAACTATATGTTGTTGTTAAAAAATAAATTTTAGAAAAGAAAAATCATTCGTGCATTGTCTTAAAAATATCGAATAACAAAATTCAAAATGAATAAATATTTGAGCATTTTGAACTGCATTAATAATAATCAAAAATTGAGTAACAATTTTTTTCTTATTCATTTTTCACTTTGATTTTTTTTTTTCATTTGTTTTTGAAGAATATTTTATTTCTTGCGGAAAAAAATTTATTGTTTAAAAGTGTGTCATTTTTATACTAAATAATACAATCATTTTAATTTATTGCACTCATTCATTTTCAAAAATTATTTCATTTATTATTTTACTCAATATTTAAAAAATGTCATCTAAAATGTTGGCAGTTGTTATTTGACTTTATTATTATTATTTTTTTTTTTTTAAATATATGTTTCAACTAATTTTTAAATTCAGCCTTCATCATATTTTAACATTTTTAAGCTAAGAAAATATCTCATCACTATGAAACAGAATTAAATTACAAAACAAAACGAAATAATGATAATTTTTTTCTATCCAAATTTATAAATTTTTAAATATTAAAAATTATTTCATAATATAATAGCACCATTTCTATTTTTCATTTTTTTTTCACTTTTTTTTATTGATGATACTGTCAACCTATCAATTGGATATCAAATCGTAATATTAACAATTTCATGGATCAGCCATAGATCAGTAGCTAATGGCTGCTTATTGTATTAGTTGAAATTGATATATTCATAAAACGATCTGAAACATGATCATGATAGATGAATGGAAAAAAGTGATGAAAAACATAATCAAAAAATTAAGATTAAAAAATTTTTTTCTCTTAAGCAGTGTCATAAATCTACGTTATAGAACTACAATACTTATATATAACCTTAATTAGTAATAATATTTTCTAACCAATAGAGAAGTATTAGAAAAAAAGGTAATGGTAGAAATCAAAAAAAAAAGATAGGAATAAGAATTAAAAAAAAAAAAAACCTATGCTAAAATTTAATCAAACATCGAAAAATGCTTTTTAAATTATGTTAGTATGTTAAAAAAAAAAAAAAAGGAAATGAAGTAAAATAAAGGCAGAAATAAACTTTTAGAAAAAAATCAAAAAGAAAGAAAAGAAAAAAAAAAAAAAAAAAAACGAAAGATGATAAATCATAAAAGAATAAATTTATTAAATTATGATGAATAATAACATTGAAGAAAAATTAAATAATTTCTAATTAAATTTTACCTCTTTTTTTTGCATGTTATTATACATTATTCTAAAGCATAATGTTTTAATTCAGCAAATACTTCAGTAAAATAAGTTGTTGATGAATTAAGTCGTAACATATCAGCACTTCGTTCATTTACTATTTGGACACATCGATCCCAGAAACGATCGCGATCCTACAATTTCCATTATTTAGTCATTGGCAATTTTTTTAAAAAAAAGTTTTTTGCAAAGAAAAAAAATTATGCATTAATTAATTTTAATAATATTCTCTATGCGAAATTTTTATTCTTTCAAAAAAGTAAGAAAAAAATTGTAAAAAAGAAAAGTTTTTGTTTTTGTTTTTTTTTTTCTCCTGAGAATGTTTTTTTTTTTTTTTTTTTGTTTGTTTTATTTTTGAGCTTATTAAACATTTTGTTAGAGGCATTCTTCTTTTGAGAATGTGTGAATGCATTAAAATTTGTTGGTGAAAGCTTTTGAAATATTTTGATCGGATAAAATGAAACTAACATGTTATGATAATAGTTTGCCAGTAGCATTTCAATTTTAGAATTTTATACTTATTTAGAATTTCATACTAGAAAATTTTATACGTGTTTATTTGTTTACCCACATATTTAATCATCAATTTTCAGAATAAATTTACGTTTGTTTATTTTTTTCCTCTTCTCTTTACAATTACTCTTTGAAAACAGTTTTGAAAGTTTTATTCAAACAATATTTTAACATGTTTTTATTTTATTAATTAAATAACATTTGTAACACAAATATTTTAGATCAAATATATTGTATGGTTATTTTCTGAAATACTTAGTAAATATTATAAGTATATGTGATTTTTTTTTAATCATACAATCTGATAAAACATTTGTTGAAATGCTGTCAATGAAACTTTTTATTTAAAAAAAAAAAAATAAATTATCAGTTAATTTGTTTTTTAAATAAAATTTGAAAGTTGAAAAATGAGCTGCATCGTATATAAACGGTGGTAATTTTGGTTACAGTTTTTCGGATATAATTGCTTTGAAATGAATTATTTGTACAAATGGATATTATGAATGTTAGAGTCATTTGAAAATTTCATGTTATATTTATATATATAATCGGATAATCTCAACATAGCTATTTGAAATTTTTAATTTACAATTTTTGTATTTTGATTGCTATTTCAGAATCTTTCCATTCTTTTTCAATGTGTTTGAACTGAAGAAATAAATTGAACCTGATCAACAAGAAACGGTTTCAATGGATAGGAAATTTCATTTCCAATATAACTATAACTTATATAAAGACAGGTGAGCACAACCGATTGCAATTCTTCCACCGTTTTTATCGTTTCATTATTACTCACCATACTTTTCACCAACATATAAACAAAGACTAAATTTGCCGGATTAATAAATGCTACATCTTGCCAACCCTAAAAAATGTTAACCAAAAATAAAAGAAAAACTACTTTTAATAATCTTAATTAAAACAAAAATTTTCATATACAAGTTTAAGTATTAAATTAAATTGACACAGTCATGTGACAGTTGCTAATAAATCATTTATCACATTATTTTAATCCTTTTTTATTCAACATTTTATAATTTATTTATATGAAATTTTTGTTAAAAAAATTAAAATACCTGTAGCAGAAGTGCCCTATCAACGGTCCTAAGCCACATAACAAGTTGAGCAGGCTCAAAATGTCGAATATGGCATTGCTTTGATAAATATTGTCCAAGGCCACGAAGTAATTCTGACGTAGATGCCTGAATCACTGTTCTCCTCTTTACATTATCATTTGGTACCAATGCTGTAAGCATAAAATATTTTATTAGCAATATTTCGAAGAATAAACAACATTTATCAAATGGTGGATATTATAGCTATAATTATTAGTGATTATTGATATATATAATTACTTGTTATAGACAATTACTAATTCCACATCAGCGTTCATTATTTCATTTGTTTAAAATGTTATTTTATTATTTATGTTTCTAAATCAATTTAATTTATTTAAAATGGTATAAAATAAATCGAGAAAAACAAAAAATATTGAATATATGGCATTTTCATAATCAATCACAAACAATCACCTAACCATTATTATCATCACTTAATTATAATAATTAGATAATCGTAGTTTTCACTTATTATTTGTAAGCATACTGTTGCATAACTGTGAATAATTATGATTAATTATCAAGAATTACATTGATTATCAACATTATTCGATATATCAATAATATGTTTACTTTACCTTTTGCGGTACAATTGGTGGTAATTTTCTTGCAGGATTTATAAGTTTGTTTATCATTTGTTGAATCAGTAATACCCGTTGCGACAGCAGTATTATCATTGTTTACCGCACAACTACTACCAAATGGTTGTTTCTGAGCACGATGTGTTGGTGACAACGGTGTCTTTGCTTGCGGACCAATAGGACTGATTAAATTATTGTTAACAAAATCCTAAAAAAAATGCTAAATTTGCATTAAAATTTCATTCGTTTCAGTATAAATGCTATAATATAAGTTATTGAATTTTCTGGAAATCAATCATCAAAGTTTGCAAAAGTTTTAATATTTTATGAAGGCACCTAATTACATATCAATTTAACAAGTATTAACAGTGACTTGATGAATGAAAATTGGTAGAAATTTGCATACGATTTCAATGCTGCTACTTTTACACAAATGAACATGCTTAATAAGTTGAATAGGGATGTGAAAAATTGAAAAATGAAACTGAAATCCTTTATATTATGTATAAATTACATTATTAAAAAATACATTATAGTGGGATTAAATTCAGCCCTGATTTAATTAGTAATGAACATATCATTAGAAAATCTCCTAAGAATTACTAATTAACAAAATATTTCATAAAAATGACAATTATGACAGAGTTGTACAAGGTGAGAAAATTTCGCATAATTTAGTCACAACTGATCAGAATAATTCTCTAAAGTTTTAATATGGAAGTATTCAGATAGACAAGAAACAAGGAAAGGAACATTGTCATATTAGACTGAAAGTGTTATTTCATCAAAGTTAAAATGAATTGAAATGATTCAAATTTTCATATAAATTGAAATCTAAAAAAGAAATGAGAGAAAATAAGATAAGTAATAATAGGTGATAATATATATATATATATAATTTAAAACTTAGAGCTAATTCTGTTACAAATGCTATAATTATTGCTCGACATTTCTTCAAACTTTTACAAATAAACTGCATGGCTATTTGAAATACGCTTAACTGTCACGTTTCATGCAAAAATTCTATCCTTAAGTAGTACATTGATAAGTGCTAACGTTACTAGAATTATGTTTTACGCCAAAATTGAGTACTGAATAAGCATAGAAAGAAGTAATTTAAAGTATTCGCAAGAGTTTGTTTGAAATTAAGGGATGATCTGTAAACAATCAACAAAATAAATGGAATAAATTCGAAAGTAATTTCGCAATAAATTCGAAAGTGTTAATTAAGTAAAAATGAGAAATTAGGTATGAATGAAAATTTGAATATTTCTTATAATTGATATTTCACAGTAATTTTAATTGGTGAAAAGAGCGTAAGTGACTTACCATATATAATAAGTAGTATTAAAATGTTTTATTAATTTGAATAATTAGTATCAAATAATAATTTCTATGCTTTCTAGAATTCCTATAATATGAACTGCTCTTTTCTGAATAAAGATGAAGTTCACTAATGAAATTGGATATTTTTTTTCTTTTAAAGTCAAATTAATGGAGCAATTTTAAAATAATTAAATACTATTAGCAATTTTCATTTGATCATAAAGAAAAAAAGTGAAGAAAATATTATAAAGGAATGAAACATTTTAAATAAAAGTAAAAAATAAAATTTGATAGAATTATTCAGTGAATTTTAATAGAACCAGAAAACATACGCTGTTTTAATTCATTTGAGAGGTGGTTTTAATCGGTCTTTTTGTATCATTGTGGTGATTAAATTCCAAACAAAAATTCCAACAAAAAAAAAGAAAATATCTTTTGAATAAAAATGTTCCATAACTTGAAAGAAAATAAGTAAGTAAGATGTAAGAAAAAAAAATAAAATGAAGAGAATTAGTATTTAATTTGGAATAGTTTTTTTTTTTTTAGTTTTTTAATTTGCAACTTAACACCTATTATTAAATATTTTCACTGAATTGATTAAATTTCGTTAATTTTCATGTAAACAACACCAAATTTTTGTGCAAATTAATTTGAATAATTTTCGGATAAATTTATTCAAAATAGCTTGGCAGTTAATAATGTAATGTAATAACTTTGAGAAAACAGAAAAAAAAAAAAAAAAAAAAGGAAATCTATTAGATTGGAAATAATTGATAAATGGCAGAAGACGAATATTTGCTCTGAACTACTTTCATATATAATTAAATACTTGAAATAATCTTAGGATTGCTAGAAATGAATACAATAATAATTTAATGAGTCAAATTTAATGAAATATGAGATGTGTTCGAATGAGATATATGGCGAAAATGAATTCAATGAAAATTGGTGCATTAGGCAATTTCATTGATTTATGAAATTATACAACCATAGGTCAGAAATTTTAATTTTGCATAGAGCAAACAATTTTTAAAATTTAAAAGAAAATAAATTTGAACAAAGATTATATATTTTATTTTTAATGACAGCTTAATTTTTCTTGAATTAAATTTTGAAATAAAAATTACTAAGGATTAATTCAACCTATAATTCAACTTGTTCGTATTCTTTAAAACTACAAGTATCTTTCTCTCTTCTTCCTTTTTTTTTTTTTCGTTTGAAATACCTCTACGAAAAGTAATTATTTAATTATTTAGGTTTTTAATTTTCTTAAGTTAAAAAAACTAAGAAAATTTTTAGCCTTTGTTTTCTAATAAATAAAAACTTTCCTTTTTTAATTTTAAAAAAAAGATTGGAAAAACTTTTAAATAAAATAATAAATATGATAAACTATTGTGATTTAACATATTTACACTTGTTTGAAAGCATTAGCTATGTTTCAACTAATTTTTTGAAATCAAAAGTGATAAAATTATACAGAAAATATTCCATTAAACATTTTTAGCTTTATTTTAAACAACCAAAATTTTGAAACTATTTAAGACATCATTTGAATAGTAAAAGGAAAAATAAATAAGTAGAATTTGCAAATAACCTGTTTACTAAGTTTTAATTCTCGTTTTATCTCTTTCCGGATGCTGTAATAGTTTGGTATAACTGTTGCCGTATCCACGATAACTAATGAATTTCGTCGATTCTTCGTCGGATTTGTTACTGCTGGTTCATACTTTTTATAATTTTGATTACTATCTAAAGTTACGGATAGTTGAGTATACGGTAGCTCACGTGAGCATTTTTCTGCTTGATTTGTAGCCAATAGTAGCATAGAATCGGTGGAACGTGATGTTACCGTTGAACTTCGTTGTTTTTGCGCTTGAGCTTGCATTTGAAGCTAAAATTATAATCATTTAAATTATTTGAACTAAAAATATTGCTATATTAACTATTACAGAATTTTACTCTATGCTTTAAATAAATTTTATTGATTTCATTTTGGTACATATCTATACAAAGCACATTTGGTTATCAATTAATTATCAGAATTTAAGTTTAAGGCAAACATTTAAATACATTTAAAATGATTGAAAAGTGATAATAAAATATTATAAAAACTTATTGGCATATTAAGAAAAAAAATCAAATTTATGAATTTTGACTTAATTAATAATTGAACGACCAAAGAAGTATGAGGACGAGAATTTTCAATCGAAAAAACAAAAGAAAAAAAAAAGAAACTTCAAGTCGTTAATGTTTTTCTTATGTTCTCTACAGTTACTATTTACTTATGCAATTAAATTGCTAATTAGCTCATTAACTCTCTAGGCTAACATCTTGAACAAGGCAAATTAAAGACTATGGACAAAGTAATAAAACAAAGAGAAAAAAATGAAGTGGAGATAGAATGAAAATGTAATTTGGATTGTATAAGTATTACAGAGTTGTGATGAAAACAAACCCTCATATATGTAATTGCATTTTTTCTTTTCTTTTTTTTAAAGTGAGCTATTTTCAATTAAGGTTTGAAAAGGAGGAAAAAGAAAAAAGGCATAGAAATAAACAAAGAAAGTAAAGAAAATGGTGTAAATTTTCAATTTCTCGTAAGGAATGAAGAATACAATTTTTAACATCAAAAAAAAAAATTTTTTTATTTAAAATTTCCCTTTCTTTTTTCATTTCTGTCCCTTTCTCTTTACCACTCTTTATTCTTCTTCTGTTATACCTGCTTTTATTTTTATCAAACAAAGTGAAAGCATTGCATTGAATTGTCATGCTTATTTATTAATTATTGAACAAAGAGGATAAAAAAAAGTTTAAATAAGTTATGCTGAGTGAGAAAGAAAAATAAAGATTAAGATGATAGCTTGTTAATAACATCAAAATAATAATTAAAATATAATTAAGAACCCATAAATATCTCAAAAAAGTTAAAACATGATGAATTTTTAAGTAAAATGTAATTTACACATAAGTAATTAACGCTTTACTTAAACGATTGATCAATCCAATGATAAGGTTAGGTTCATCATAGAAAAAAGAGGATTCTATAAGTATGATTTAAACATTAGAAGAATTTTTAGTACTAAAAATCCATCTATAATCATAAAAATTAAATGATAATTTTAGAACAGAATAGTATGATTCAAAGATAGATAAAATTAAAAATAATCAAAATCATTTATTCATTTCAAACATTTCATATAATTTTCTCTTACATCATAATTCTATGATTAACTAAATGTATTCATTTACTGGTTCATATAAACCTTTTTTTTTCTTTTTGTTTCTTTTTTTATAACTTTCAATTTTTTAAACGATTTTTTGCTTTTTTCTTTTGTAAAAATAAATTTAATAAATATTAAATTAAACTAACTGTCATTACAGTGTGAAAAATATTTTCCTAATGAAATATTAAAATATTTTTTGTAAACAAAAAATTACTTTGATTTAGTAAATTTTAACGAAATGAAATCATGAAAAAGAGCGACATTTTTCAAATAAATGAGAAAAGCCTTAGGAAAATGGATTTTAAAATGATTCCATTAATTAGCTTTTTGGCCTCTTTTTTCATTTCAATTGAAAATGAAGCAAAAATATAGGAAATGGGGAAAAACAGGCCTGTCTAAACATACATACTTAAGTAGACCCAAGCACAGACACCAACACACACCGACACACACACACATACACATACATACACACATCTTTATGCAAATACTTAAAATTGCTTCATGGATATCATCATCTGGCTTCTTCTACCAAACTAGGCTCTATTAGCATCTCCACTTTACCATCAACACTTATCCTTCATTCATTTTCTGAGGCTCTTTTATTTTAGAGACACTGTTTCAGAAAAGAGCAGACAACATTTTTTTCAATTCAGTTTTTTTTTTTCTTTTTCTTTTTCTTTTCTCAAATAATTTTTGATGATTGCAAAAGAATGTTAAAATATAGGCTTAAAATTACAGAGAGAGAGAGAGAGAGAGGGAAAGAGGAAAAGAGGAAGAGAGAGAATGGAAACAATGAAAAGAAAAAGAAATGAAAAATATTGGACATAAAAATGTGATGAATTAAATAATATTTTGAATTAGAAATGATTGATTGATTAACTAGCTAATTAGTTAAGCGATTGATTTAATTAACTTGACGTAATTAATTTTCTTTTTTTTTATGTGATTTTTGTGTAAATCTTACTTTATGTAATTTAACCCTTTTTTAAAAAAAAAAAAAATCATTAAAATCAGTATTTCAAAAAAAAAGAATCGGTGTTTCTTTTTTTACTGATTGATTACTGCTTTTGTAACTTTGCAAAATGCTTTCTCTATTATTTCGAACTTTCATTCATTTCAATTTAAATTTCACGACTATTATTTATCTTTCAAATACACTTTCCTTCCTCTTTTTTTCAATTTACTTATTCTAAAATTCACTAAATTCATTTTACAACAAGCATTTCCGCTTAACTTAGCAATATGTGCGTTCCATAACATTAGCATATATCAATTTATTGAATAATTAATTTGATAACACTAGAAAAATATTTTAAATAACTTACGAAATTTGTACAAATTCTTGACTCTTTTAATTCTTAAATACCTAATTTAAAAATATAATGGATAGAATGAAATCATCCAATTAAAACATTCAGTTCACAAATAAATGCTCAAACGTTAGATGTTTTCATTCACTGATAACTTTTTCATCATAAAAAAAATCTCGAAGTCCTGAAAAAAGAGGGAAAGAAGAACGGAAAAAAAGGCCAACCTGTTGCGCAGCTTTTTTAGACCAATTCCATCCTGCCGCAAATACCGATTGCTTTTTGGCCTGTATCGTTGTCAATGGATGATGTCGAAAAATTGGTGGAGCATCTGATGCCACAAACAAATGATTGCAGACACTTGTTGGCGGTCGATGGGGTAAAGGTGATGTTAAGGAAGCTCCCATACCTGGTTTGCTACGATTGGAAAAAATAGCTAATAAAATTCAAACTTTGTAGAAGAACATCAATTTAATCAATTAAGACGAATTGATTTTTTCAGTTGATTGTTTCTAGAATTATTCATTCCAATACGGAATGGGAAAATTGATTTTTAGCAGTGAAAATATATTAAATAAACAGGACAAATTCAGTAGTAAGTTTCATCTGAGGAATTACTTTAGCAATAGATCGATTAACTTATTGATAGATTATTCAGAATATCCAATTAAAATAAAACATTTTCAATTAATTCGTTAAGTCAGAAATGTACCGGAAATAACAACGTTGGTTAGAATAGACGAATGTTTTCTTACACATATAATACTTTAATGAAAATTCATAACCTGAAAAATATTAAAATTTAAAGGAAAAGAAGAAATATGTCATTTATATTTGTAATTAATGATTTGTTATTGATATGCATAAATTTCTAATTTGTTCAACATTATTTATACCCGAAAAATTATCATACTGCCATTTTATAACACTAATGATATAATAATAATAATGACGATAACGGTGGTAGCCATAACAAAATAATTATTATAATAATAATTATTATTGTAATAGCAATGGTAGTATAACAACAATAATAGTAATAATGACAATTAACGGTAATAATAACTAACAGTAGCATTAAATAAAAATAATAGTAATAATCATATGTATTTTCGTCCATTAATTATAAGTTTCATACAAACAGAAATAATATATGATAATGCATTATTTGAATGATACTCGATAAAGCAACCAGCGGATATTATTAATGTAGTTCTCGGATTCTATTTTAGAAAAGAATTGAAGTTAAAAATAGTAATATCTCTTCTTTTTGCTATTATTTGCTTGTATCATAGAGAAATGGTAAATCGGAAGCAAAGTTTACATAATGTTAATAATCGTAATTCAAATGATAATAATGATAATATTTTGGACGGATAGGATAATGATGATTGCACTATCAAAAACGATTTTTTAATATTGGTCCAAAAGTATCAGTTGGACAAACGTGTAAAATAAGTAATAACTCTTTGTCCATGTTAACAACTCATTATCATATCACCTTTTCTTACTTCAGTTTCGAAAAGAAATGCAGAAGCTAAGATTATAAATACTTTCAATTTTGTAAGATTGTGTAGAGCTCGGCAAATAGAATCAGTGAGCAATCTCATTTTGTAAATTTTGAATTTAAACAATTATGGCAGAAGAAATCACAGCAACACACAAATAGAGAAATCCGAAAGGTACAGATTGAGAGTTCTCAGGTTTGTTAATCCTCCAAGATATCTTGTTGAATGATATCTCAGATTCACCTCAAAATATTTAAAATATATGTAAACAATTAGATTAATCAGTAGATAATTTTTAGTTGCTTCTCTTTCTTCTTTTACTTTCCTCTTCTTCCTTTTTCATTCTCATCTTTTTTTCTCTCTCTATCTATTCCCAACTATTTATTGTTACTCGTTCAATTTCATTTAAATTTTGCAAAGTGCATCATCAATTCCGCTGCTAACAGATAAATATTTTCTGAATGAAATAAACAAAGTGGAAAACTTTAAAACTTACATCCAATTAGCTTTATAGTATCCGTCAGTATTAAGTAAGAAAGTAATGATAATTGTTGTTACGATGATGAACGATAATGTCAGCGGTGTGAGTAATAATGAAATAATTAAAGTGAAACATTAAATCACAATGTATTCCAATAATTTATTCGATAGGAAAGAATTGTTTGAAAATTTTCCATCTATAACATTCTTTTATGGTTATTATTCCAATTTTCAAATATCAAAACTGTTTTAAAAAATCTAACTTATTCAAGTGTTTAACTTAATTTTATGGTAAATGTCTTAAAAATTAAAATAATTATTTGATTGAATAAAAAAGAAATGAAAAAAAAAAATGAATAGACTGATTGAATAAGAAATAAGACAAATGGAAGAATGAATGATTATCGTTGTGATTGCAATGACCATAAGATGAGAAACGAGGAATGGCATGGTTGTTTGTGTGCAATTGGCTTTAGGCTTACATCCTTTAAAGGTTTGTAGGCCCTAAAAGGCTAACAGAATGATGACTCATAGGCATGTTATTTTGGCATGACTTGCTTGCATATGGGAACAAGCAAAAAATGATTATAAATTCAATTTAGTGATCACGTTTTCTTCAAATTCTTAACATTTTTCAATTTTATGGAATTAATATTTTTTGTTGTTCTTCTTTTTAATATTGCAAAAAAATAGATTTAAATGTGAATTTTTCCATTTTTTTTTATTGCTGAAGTTGTTTGTATCTGTGAAAAATATTTGTATTTTTCTCTATGCATGTATATCAAAACTAAGTATTGAAAAAGATATGTTAAAAGTGTATTTTAGACTTCCAAAAATGATGAAAACGAAATCTTCAAAATATTATTAGTTTTTTTTTTAGTTTTGTCGCTAGGTATCCCAGATCTTCCAAAATATTACTATGGAAGATAATAGATATTTTGTTAGTATATAGCAAATGATAATAATGATATGGATTTTTAATGCGGATATTGTTTATATTGATCAATATTATTTCATATCTTTCTTCCTTATTTGCCTAATATATCGATGAATTTGATGAGAGCTAATAAAGCTTGATTAGATAAGCCAATATCACATTTTTGCAATTAGAAGAAGCATAATTTTCATCAACTATGCCACTTATAAGTGAGAAAAAATGAATGAATGATAAGAATGTCAATGATTACATCTGATCATTCATAGAGAAACATGAAGTATCACAGCTTATTTCAGGATCATTGAAAATACTATCAAATAAATAGCAGCAATAGAAGCATCAATAGCATTACTTCAAATTAGACTACTGAAAACGGATGACTTTCGCATTCAGAAAATTTGAAATTAGAAGAGAGAGAAGGAAAGAAAGAAATTGAAAGAATGATGAGAGGAACATGATGAAAGAAGACTTCAGGATTGAACTATCGCAAATTTATATTCACTTCGTCATTTTCATCTTTATCCCTAAACTCTGCCATATACTCTAGCTTTTACGGAATACTTACTAACGAAATGGTTTGGTAATTGTCACCATTGGCCAAAGACATCCTCGCTTAACAATGCCTGCAATAAGCCTAGTAAATAGATTGACTCTATGGGTGACTCTATAGGTCTCTTGTGTGTTTTGCTTTTGACGAAGAGATAGATGAAGATGTAGACATAGTTGATTCGATTCGATTCGACTCGATTCGACTCGATTCTACCATTTCATTTCATTTCATTTCATTTCATTTCATTTCGTTTCATTTCATTTCATTTCATTCTATTTTATTTTATTTTATTTTATTTTATTTTATTTCACTTCATTCTATTTTATTTTACTTCATTTTATTTTATTTCATTTCATTTTTTCTTTCGCGTCATTCAATCTTTTTTTCTTTTTCAATTTGTCATTTCTTTTAATCGTTTTCCATTCTTTCTTTTTTTTTCTCATCCTTTTCCATCGGCCTTATTTAAACATATGCAAAAGAGCCAGTCATTTCATGTTATATGCATTCGTAAATGTTGTTTACAATTTCCAGTTTATGTTCATATAGAGTATATGTGAAACAACGTAAAATATAATCTTATCTAAGCATGAAATCACACAATATATGTGACCCTACAAAGTCAAATATAAAAATTATTTTAAAAATGACTATAATGTTTCAAAAGAGAATGAATGTAGAAATAATTGAAAATTTAAACCTTTATATTATACTTTTATATTAGCCGTCCATACTGTCGATATATTATATTTTTTAATTTAATGGGTGCTTAGTGTGATAAAACTAATTTTGACTAAAATTGCTGCCATTTTTCTTCTGCTAATTGTAATTATTGTCCAATGAATTTATGGCTTCAATAAAATTATGGAAATTTCTTCATTGAGAAACTTAAAAATCAGAAAAAATACAAATGCATGGTGGGATCGAGATTTTTGATTCTCTGAGATGTCTTATTGAATTTAACCCTGGAATTTCTGTGCAGCGTGTAAAAAATTTGCTATCTTTTAAGGTAAATAAGGATCGAATGCTTCAATAAATTTTCAAATACAATAAGTGATGCATTTAGGAATTTCGATATAACCGTGTCAAAAAGGTTGAATCAAAGAACTGAGAGTTCCCGCTGAGTTTGAACAAGTTGTTCTGAAGTCCTTCACTTTTCTGGTTGAAAGCGGAAATTACAAGTTTCCGAACAAAGGCTCGACCAGATGTCAGACGGATGTAGAAATGCCTATATATGGATGTGAGACAAGAGAACCAAAAGAATGAAACAGTTTATTTTTATTAGAAAGCTAATAATTGAAAATAATGTAAATTTAAGCCATTACCAAACAATAACACTACCTATCATTCTCATCAGGGCAATTCTCGAAGAAATTTTGGTCGGAATATCTTGAGAGAAAAACTGGAGATATTCTTTCAACTTAAATTATAAGTGTCAACAATAAAAGTGAAAGCTGTCAGTCTTTCCGGTGTAAAGGAAGTTCTCAAACATTTCAGCATTCATTCGATCATTTGATTAATTAAATGTATAAGATTGGATGAAATTTATTCAAAACAATCATGAGCAAAATTTGAGATTTTCTACAACTAAATTTGGAACAAAATTTTAATTGAATTGAAACATTTCATAAGACTTCCATTGAAAAGTGTTTGCGCCCAGTATTTTTTAAAGCAATAATTCAAATATAATATTTTGAGGCACAAAACAAAAATAAAAGACAAAAAGAAAAAATAACACAAATTTCTTCCTCGGTGACGTGGAAAATTCCCAAGAGTTTTATGTATTGATGAAGCAAAGTGATAAGATGAAAACATGAAACGCCACACTGACAAGTTTTCATTTGTTTTTATAGTCCTTTTTCATTGAGATATTTCACAACTTCAGTGTTTTACCATTTTTAAGTAAAAAATAGAAATAAACTAGAAAAAATGTTCTGAATGGAAACAAATAAAAAAGAATTGATGAAGAAAAAAAGCTTAAAATATCAAAAAAGACAATTTCCTGATACAAACAGGAATTTTAGGATAACAGCTATGATATATGTTATCACAACAACATACTAACCATATGTTAATCACAACGAACAGGAAGTGATACTTCTGAGTTAAGCTTTTCCTATTTCGGAATTTTGAATGTAATGAATTATACTAAAAGCATGAAAGTTAGTTTACAATTTTTAATATGTGAAACTTGTTAACAAAATATTTTGTTCCTGGGGTTGTCACATAATCGATTGATGCGACGATTAATAGTATGTAAAGAAAAAATTTTCATTGTAATGTACAGTCTTCTGAAAATTAAATATAGTTCAGTAAAAGAGCGACAATTCAAATATTTCAATTTTCCAGTGTTTAATTTAGCTATAAATATGAAATAGGGAAATTTTGGCAAAGTAAGAAACGAATGTGAATTGAAACGAATTGGCTGCTAGACATTCTTCTGAACAATTGGTCTAGGCTTTATCTCATCGATTTCTTTGCACCAAATAGTTGGATGAATTTTGCATGGCAGTTTAATGCTCCACAAGAGAAAGGAATTGGAGCATAATCCCACTGAAACAACTATTATCCTTAATTATATATTTTATATCGAATTCATAACGTTCCATTTAAAAAAAGGGTTGCGTAACTGTAAACATTGTACCAAGATGAACTATTAACATAGAATGAATTAAATACCACTCGAATGAATACTTTACTACTCTCAATAGGTATTAAATGATAATCAATCTAAATGACAAGTAGGAATTAATGACGTATGAAATCTAATCGTATGCAGTCATTTTTTGTTGCTGCCAGAATCTTATCATCTGTGTTGGCTTCTTTCAAGTTATACTTAGAGCAAATATATTTATTATTCTCTCGTGAAATTATATCGATGGCAATGATAAGAGATCCCCTAAAATGGTATTCAAATCCTAATTGTTTCTCGATAAAAGAGACAATAGAAATTTGCTGAATTCATCCGCTCTGAGTTTTTTGTATTTTAAACTAGGAAATAAGTTTTGATAATGTTAAATTTTATTTTCATTCAATGCTAATACTATTTAAAAATATAACTTCATTTAAAAAATTAGATATTTTCAACTTTATTGATTATTTTGCATGCATTTTTTGGGGAATGGTCATGTTTGGTTTGGTCACTATCATAAGTCAGTGTTGCTATTATCATCGGAAAAGCACATTATCAATGTCAAATATACATCTTTCCACTTCAAACGTTATAGGTCCATTTGGTTATTTCACTATCCAATACATAAAAAGTGCATAGAATTTTGAAGAAAAAAAAGAAAAAACAGGAAAATAGAAAACTTCCTAGAAGACATAGTTATCATGGAAATTTCATTGGTGCATTTAGTTGTTCGTTCTCATCAGCCAAATTATTTTCAGTAGCAAAACTTCCAAAATTTAAAAACACGCGAAATAATCCAAGTGTTGCCGAAAATTTATCAAAATTCATAGCACAAAGGTGTTTTTTAAACCATTTAAACCATTTTATGCATAATGAAGTTGCAATTTTACTTTTTTTACTTTGAAGAGAAACGATACGGACCAAAATTCATAAAATATTTGCTTTTCATCGCCAAAAATATTTTATTGGAATTATAACGCATTTCCAGAAAATAAAGAACATTCAACTCAAAAGTCAATGAAACTGACCTAGGATTCATGGCTAACTTTGTGGAAGATTTTAATATCGTAAAACTCTAAAATATAAAAATAGAAAACAAGGGTAAGAAACATGCTCGATGAACCCTTCGCAAATAATGTTTATATATTAAACTCTTTGTTCTAATCATGTTTATACTGTATCCAAAAATGCTTGTCGTTTAAACTTTTTGTTTCTTCCTTGATATTTAAACCTTAAATTACCTTCCCTTTCTTTGTTTACATTTTGACTATGACTATCCTTCAAGTTTAACAAAGAATTCATCATTACCACTCCTATTGTAAAAGTTGGGGTTCAGTCTGCATATAACTTTCTTATGCTCAAAGACCTCCTTATTGTTATTGTAGTTGGTGTGGATGAATGCGTTGGATGATAGGATTTTTGTAATGATTTTATTTGCTAGAGATATTATATAGGTATTAATCTAAAGCAACGATACTGATAATTTCGTAGAGTATCTACGAATTTGATGAAGAAAGTGTATAAATGAATAAATTGATGGGAAAATGAATTGAAATGTGAATGAGGGAGAACAGTCGAATTGTGATTTACTGGTAAGGAAAAACTGATTAAGACAAATCCTTATATATAATGGGCATTGACTCGCAACAAGAGCAGTAAGGAGCTATGAGATGATCCTTGCTCTTTATATAGTAAATGATGATTTTAATATTGTAGTTTCCCAAAGGATGACTATCAGCTTAGAAGACCTTTACAGTACTTCGAATTGCAAGCACATTTGATTTGAAAGAAAAGGGTAATTTTTAAACATGTTAAACAATGCACATAACCTTTGTTACCAATGAAAATGTCTGGATAAGGGAACAGCTCAACTACAATGCGAAGATGAGTGTTGGAATAATGATTGCTTACAATTTGCAATTTGAATCAGTTTTACATTTCTGCTGTTCATTTAAGACAAATTGTAGTATTTAGATTAATACAATTTTATTTGATATATTTTGTAAATTATTTGGTTGTTCGCGAGATTATTTTCGAATTTTGCGACAACTTCCTTTTTTAACTTATATATACTGCGGTATAAACAAAAGGACACCAATAAAAGTTTACTCGATTTGTACTCAGTTCTTATAATTTTATTCTGGTGCTGCTTGTGTTAACAAAGAAAATAATTCCTGTGTTACTCTACATATTTACATCTACATCCAACAATCTCTCCGATATCAGCAACCTCTCCAATACAATAAATTTTTTTAATTACAGAAAATGCATATCACACTATCACTCAATCTAACAGTCAATTTACAGGCAGCAGATATTTCTCCCGTTGTAAATTTTTATCAGCTTGTCAAATGATTACAATATGAAAATAAAATCGATTTCATTGAAATGAAAATAATTTGACTTCGGAAATATTGACGATAAAAAATTTTAGTTCTTTCAACAACAAATATCACATTTAAGGGAAAAAGTTCCTGTTTTTACCAATTTTTCTGAGCAAAATATTAGTAGCCGTAAAATTAATCGGACGCTTACGACTGAAACAGAGAAATCTTCAAAGATATAATAATCATACTCGTTAAAATTTTAAAATCATATCTTTTTCTTTTCTCTAAATTTATTATTAATGCATTATAATTTTGTTACTTTAAGGAGGATTTACAAAGGCCATCACAAATAACTTGATTTTCTTGCTTCTCCCAATAACATCAAAAAAAAAAAAATCTCTAATTTGTTACTAATCATATTTGTGAAAAGAAATTTATTTACAACTATCCATTTACAGCAATTTTCAAAAATTAACCACTTTTGCAAATTTTTCAACAATTCTTTGCATTAATAGAACGAAATTCACAGCTTAATATTGCTGACGCATGCATCATTCTGCAGTGTGTCACTGCACAACTGAAAAAAATAATTTATTCCAATGATCGAAATATTAGTTGAATTGGTTGAGAAGCATTGACATTCTGTTGCATTCTTCATTGGATGGTCGTAAGGGATTCATATTTGAATATTATCCCGTGATAAACCCAATATTGAATACCATCAATTGGCCATAATATTAGCATTTGCCAATATCAGGCAATATTTATGAATTCGCATTGTAGCGATGACTACACTAAGCAAAAGTCAAATAACATGATTTCTGAGCAAAATTTCAGGAAAACAATTATATCAAAAACTACTTGGAACTTCAACAAGAACGATAACGCTGACATGATGAACAGGATTAACGGCAGTGATATTTACGGAAATCAAATGCATGAAGAAGTCGAATCTCTTGAATTCAATGAAATTATTTTCTTCGCAAACTTAAGGGAATACCATTACCGAAACTTAAAAGTTAGGTAGATCAGTGGTATAATTTTATCATAAAAATAAGTTTGCTCGCTATGTTTTCTGATAAGTTTATTGTTAGCGCTATTTCCTTCACACTGCTTAACGTCCTTTTGTTGTAGAAGTGGAAAAGAACTACCACCAGTGTTAAGGCTTTGAATCCTAGCAATTTTTTTGGCGCTAATATTATGTTAGAAACTTAAGCACACACATTGCATTATAAATCCAATAATATTTGTGCTTGAATAAATTTAAATTTCCCGATTAGCTCTAATTTTCATTTTGTGTTCATTCAAAAACACGACGAAAAAAATCAAATAAAAGGAATATTTCTTACTTGATTAATTAGCTACTTTATTTGAATAATGTCAATTCAGCTATGCAATGACTAATTTCTGTTGGCCCTAATTTTCATAAGGACAAAAATTGCAAAAAGTGTATTTATTCCATAAAATAAGGTAGATTTATGAATATCAATAAAATTGTAAATCAATAAAATTTTCTGCATCATTCCGATGATAGCACCAGAAATGCCGTGTAGCTTCTCATTCTTGCGCACCTTATCGTATTTCTTCCGAAATATTCGCGAATTGTTAATTGCTTTCTGTTACGGCTAGAATGAACACACCAAAAGGTATAAAAAGTTTGCCGAAATTTGGCCTAATGGAGCAATTAAGTGCTTCTTTACATGGCTTTTTTTTTGCATCGCATTATTTACTGAATTTTGTGTTGCTATTATACAATTTCACGGATGTTTTTTCAGCACATTTTCATGTGCATTTCACTTCAAGCAGACAAATATGTTTGAAGTCCTGCTAAATTTGTGAAACTAACGTGGAGCTTTCGTACAATGCTTCCTATGAGCGCTTAGATTATTCCTATAGATGAAAATTTTGCCACAATTTTCGCAATGAACATTAAGCTTGTGTGTTTCATGATGAAAGGAGAATGATGATGGATGAGTGAATGTTCGCCCACAACCCGACACTTTGCACTCATAAACAAAAGGTTTGGGGTGCGTTTTCCTGTGAGCTATGTATTCCTTGTAATTTTTTGTTTTCATAGTACATCCGACATGGGGACACTCGTAATTTTCCTCATCTGAAAAATTCTTTTACAACATTTGTTTTTATAATTCTATCATACCAATTTGTAATTAATTAACGCAATTTGAAAACTGATCATTAAAATGTGTACGATATACTTCAATAGCTCATGTCACGGATCTTTACTTGTTTTCTCATGTATTTAAAATTTTTTTTTTTAAATTTTTCACTGCGATGAAATCAGGTCCAGTCCTCGATTCTTTGCTGTTCAATCACGTATTCATTCCATTCCTTGAACAGTAGGTACTGCTTATCTTTTCTTACGTTGAATATAAACGAGGATGATCTATTTATTTGTGGTTAAATGTTGCTTTCCTATTGAATTTTGTATTGCTATACGACGGATCTTTCTCAGCTGTGCATTTCACTCCAAATAAATAAACATGTTTGAAGTTCTGTTAAATTTGTGAAACTAACGTGGAGCTTTCGTACAACGCTTCTTGTGAAACTTCAAATTATTTTTACAGCTGAAAATTTTGCCACAGTCTCCGCACTGAACTTTGGGCCGGTGCATTTCCTGATGACGGGACAATGATGATGGATAATTGAATGTTCGCCCACAACCGAACACTTTGCATTCATAAATAAAAGGTTTGGGATGCGTTTTCCTGTGAGCTATGTATTGATTGTAATTCTTCATTATCATAGCACACCCGATATGGGGACACTCGTAATTTTTCCGGTCTGAAAAATTATCGTGTAATATTTGTTTTTGCAACTAACATCTTCCATTATATCATTTGGTAATGAATTAATGTAATTTGGAAAATGATTATGAACTCAAATTATAGGCATATATAATTAGAAGCAAAAACTTAATGTTACCTGTAATGGAAACGTTTTGAGGAACAAACAACTTTGAGTTTTTTGCAGGAACAAGATCAGGTTTTATGTCGGGCTTCTCAATGTTTGCCGAAATGCTACTATGCATATTCTCACCATCTGTTCTCGGCAATTCTTGCAACTGAGAATTTCCTGTTGTGATTAGAACGGTTCCGATTTTCGAATCCTCATTGCTTCTATGTTCACTTTTCCACAAATCAGTAAAATCAAAGTGCGAAAAATCAGATGAAATGCTATCCTCCAAATTCCCAGCAGATGTTCCTGGTAATTCTCTACCAGTATTTCTTGGTTCGCTTTTATGAGCATCAATGCTTGAACCCAGAATCGACTCCAAATTGGTGCTATCAAGGATGTTGAAATTAGTTGAGAAGTACCCATTGCTACAGTCATCCCATGTAATGTCATCTATGTCGAGATTTAGTAGAGAGATAGTTTCATTCTCAGCCAAAACAATACAAATCAGAAAGCTCAACCAGATGATTTGTATCATTGAAATGAAGAGCAAGATGAAAAACTGAATTTTTACAATGACAGAAATACTTGATTGAAAGTCTTTATTTCAGATTGGTTGGAATTAAACGGCCAAAGGTTTAAACACTTTTTAATCTGTCTTATTTGCATCATTCCTCATATTTTTTTTCCTTTCACTCTAATTTTTCCATTCTTAAATTAATAGCTGATGAATACGCTTTTGGACTGTATGAATAAAAGATTAAAAATTAAATTGTCATGCATGAAAAATTAAATTCATACGGCCATCAATTGTTACCTGTCGTGTAACTCCTGATAATTAATTAATACCACTTCATCATTTTTCATTAATTTGAAAATATTTCTAAAAAGACTCTACAAGTGCGCAAGAATGAGAAGCTGCACGATATTTCTGATAATATCATCAGAATGATGCAGAAATTCTACAACTTCATTATGATAATTCTAATCATTATTTATCAGATGAATCTCACTCTTTTTGTTTCAATATTCTATAACTTTCCAATTCTTTTACTTCTATTTTTCTTCTCATTGAGTATTACATTTTCAATTTACACTTAACTGACGTACTGTACAGGAATCTGACTGAAATGCTAACATTTCATGCTTAATCTAGTAGGATTACGTCACATGAAACACAATAAATCTTTTGTTATTCTCTAGTAAAAAAATCGGGTGACAAAAATTTTGTTTGAACCAATTGTGAAAAAACATGAATGGATAATGTTATAAAAATGTACAACAGAAAATGTATAACATTTTGACAATTGTTGTGAGCTAAATTTACATATTTCGCTTTTGTTCTATTCCAACAATCTTTCATCTGCTGAAATTGCATGGAAAGTATTATATTCCATTAATTGACCTCTTTCAAGTTCACTATTCGACCAGCTTTTATGTCTTGAACGTTTAATTTGATCAGTTGGAATTTGACATTACCAAATTGTTTAATTATATTATTTTTATATCAAATGCATTTTTAGTAGGAATAAGTTAATTTTCATTAAAAATAATGTAAATTTAAGTCATTACCAAAAAATAACTGTGCCTACCATTCTCATCAAGACAATTCTTGAAGAAATTTTAGCGAGAATATGCCATCAATTGGAAATTTTGTATAAATTCTGGTTGAATTACTTCTCTGAATTAGGAAGATACAATGATTCAAACTTTAAGTTCTTTAATGATTTTTTGTTTTTCAACCATGACTTATTACTTTAATGAAATTCCAATCTACATGCCAACTGGCCAGATGCTATTACTTCTCTGAATTGGGAAGATTCATTTAACAAGGAAGCAGTCGCAAAGTCTTTATTTTGAGGCTTACAGTGAACACTAAAAACTGAAATGAATGTATTAAACATATGAAAACACACGATGAACATTTTATTTATAAGCTAAACCCGATTTTGAACTAAAATGTCAGTACTAAAGTGCTAAGCTTACAATCCTAACAATTTTGTCAACGTTAATATCATATGAGAAACTTAAGCTATTTATGCGTACACATAGACATTATAAATTTGTAAAATCCAATACTGTTTGTGCTTGATAAATTTAAATTTCACCTATTGATTCTAACTTTCATTTCGTGACCATTCAAAAAAATGACGAAAAAAATCAAATAAAAGGAATATTTCTTACTTGATTAATTAGCTACTTTATTTGAATAATGTCAATTCAGCTATGCAATGACTAATTTCTGTTGGCTCTAATTTTCATAAGGACAAAAATTGCAAAAAGTGTATTTATTCCATAAAATAAGGTAGATTTATGAATATCAATAAAATTGTAAATCAATAAAATTTTCTGCATCATTCCGATGATAGCACCAGAAATGCCGTGTAGCTTCTCATTCTTGCGCACCTTATCGTATTTCTTCCGAAATATTCGCGAATTGTTAATTGCTTTCTGTTACGGCTAGAATGAATACACCAAAAGGTATAAAAAGTTTGCCGAAATTTGGCCTAATGGAGCAATTAAGTGCTTCTTTACATGGCTTTTTTTTTGCATCGCATTATTTACTGAATTTTGTGTTGCTATTATACAATTTCACGGATGTTTTTTCAGCACATTTTCATGTGCATTTCACTTCAAGCAGACAAATATGTTTGAAGTCTTGCTAAATTTGTGAAACTAACGTGGAGCTTTCGTACAATGCTTCTTGTGAGACCTCAAATTATTTTTAGAGTTGAAAATTTTGCCACAGTTTCCGCACTGAAGTTTAGGCCCGTGTGTTTCCTGATGACTGTAGAATGTTGATGGATTATTGAATGTTCCTCCACAACCGAACACTTTGCACTCATAAACAAAAGGTTTGGGGTGCGTTTTCCTGTGAGCTATATATTTACTGTAACTCTTCGTTTTCATCGTACACCCGACATGGTGACATTCATAATTTTTATCATCTGAAAAGCTGTTTGATAACACTTCTTTCTTCAGTCCTATCATAGCAATTTGTAATTAATTAACGCAATTTGAAAACCGATCATAAAAATGTCTGTGATATTATACTTCAAATAGCTTCTTTACTTGTTTTTCATGTATTTAAATTAAAAATGTAATTGTAGATGAGATCATCAGTTTTTGATTTCTTACTGTTCAATATCTACAATTTCACGTAAAAGCAAAGGCCTTCTTAAGAAAATAACTTTTAAACTCATTCCATTCCTTGAACAGCAGGTACTGCTTACTTTTTTTTTTTATTTTGAATATAAATGAGAAGGATCTATCGCTTTGTTGAGTCTTTGTTAAATATTGATCTATTGAATTTTGTACTGCTATATAATGAATCTTTCTCAGCTGTGCATTTCACTCCAGGAAGGCAAACATGTTAGAGTTCTGCTAAATTTGTGAAACTAACGTAGAGCTTTCGTACAACGCTTCTTGTGAGACCTCAAATTATTTTTAGAGTTGAAAATTTTGCCACAGTTCCCGCACTGAAGTTTAGTCCCATGTGTTTTGTCATGACTGTAGAATGTTGATGGGTGATTGAATGTTCGCCCACAACCGGACACTTTGCATTCATAAATAAAAGGTTCGGGATGTGTTTTCTTGTGATCAATGTATTCATTGTGGCTCTTCGTTTTCATAGTACACCCGACATGGTGACATTCATAATTTTTATCATCTGAAATATTGTCTTATAATAATTTTTATAATCCTATTCTTCACTGCTATACAACAATATTTCTCAGCTGTGCATTCCACTTCAGGTAGACAGTCAGATAAAAAATGTTCAAAATTTTCTGAATTTGTGGAACTAACATGGAACATTCGCACAGCGTTTCCCGTGAGCGTTTAGTCTATACTTCGAGTTGAAGTTTTTGCCACAATTTTCGCACTTAAGTTTAGGCCCGTGTGTTTTCTGGTGATTGACGAGTGTTGACTGATGAGTGAATGTTTGTCCACAACCGGGCACTTTGCATTCATAAATAAAAGGTTTGGGATGCGTTCTCCTGTGAGCTATGTATTCATTGCGACTTTTTGTTTTCATAGTACATCCGACATGGGGACACTCATAATTTTTCTTATCTGGAAAATTATCTTATAATATTTATTTTTGCAATTATCATCGTCCAATCATTTGGAATGAATTAATGTAATTTGAAAAAAATTGTGAGCATATGTTAGATTAATGATACCTGTAATGGTAGGATTTTGCAAAACAAATAACTCCATGTTTTTTGCAGTAACGAGATCAGTTTTTATTTCGGACTTCTCAGTGTTTGCCGAAATGCTACTATGCATATTCTCACCATCTGTTCTCGGCAATTCTTGCAACTGAGAATTTCCTGTTGTGATTGGAACGGTTTCGATTTTCGAATCCTCATTGCTTCTATGCTCACTTTTCCACAAATCAGTGAAATCGAAGTGCGAAAAATCAGATGAAATGCTAATCTCCAAATTCCTAGCAGATGTTCCTGGTAATTCTCTACCAGTATTTTCTGGTTCTCTTTTATGAGCATCAATGCTTGAACCTAGAATCGACTCCAAATTGCTATTATCAAGGATGTTGAAACTAGTTGAGAAGTACCCATTGCTACAGTCATCCCATGTAATGTCATCGATGTCGAGATTTAGTAAAGAGATAGTTTCATTCTCAGCCAAAACAGTACAAAGCAGAAAGCTCAACCAGATGATTTGTGTCATTGAAATGAAGAGCAAGATGAAAAACTGAATTTTTACAATGACAGAAATACTCGATTGAAAGTTTTTATTTGAAATTGCTGGAATTAAACGACCAAAGGTTCAAACAGTTTTTAATCTGTGTCACTTGTATTTATTATTCGTACTGTTTCCCTTTCATTCTAATTTTTCTATTATTAAATTGACAACTGATGCTTTTTGACTCCATATGATGTTTAGCAATGGTTGTGCTTCGGAGATTATCGGAAGAAAGAAGTGTGGCACGAATGTAATGCATGAATGACTAAATTCATACAGCCATTAATTGTTACTTGTCGTGCGGCTTCTAATAATAATATTTTATCATTTTTCATCAGTTTAAGTCTCGTGCGACTATCACTGAATACGCCAGAATGTCAGTGCTTCTCACTCAATTAGCTAAAATGTCGACAGTTAAAATAAAATTCCGCCTGTTTCAGTTTAGTAGTGGCACAGTGCAGAATGATGCTAAAATGAGATTGTCAGTTCAAATGCAAATATATATTTTAATAAACGTCTGATGAGCTTCGAAGTTGCAGCTTCACCGATCAATGAATAAGAATTAGTTTATGAAATTTTCACAAATCTTATTATCTAGTTGATTCAAATGCTGGAGTTGCCTATTATTGTTTCACAGAAGCAAAAATCAAAACGAATTTGGAGGGAAACACAATAAGTTCGTCATGAATTCTAGATCAATTTCATTTCTCCTTTGAACTGAACAATCTTTATTCTATGCAAAAATATTTTTGGTGAAGAACTGATTTTATGATTTTCAAAATTTGTCGCAAAAATTTTAAGTAAATGCAATCAGATTTATAACGCGTTTCTCTTCAAAGCAAAAAAAGTGAAATTATAATTCATTCTATATAAATGCTTCAAAAAACATTTTTATGCGACAAATTTTGCTAAATATTCAGTAACGCTAAATTTTTTTTGCATGCTTTTAATTTTTGAAGGTTTTGCTACAGAAAATAATTTAACCGAGGAGAACGAACAACTGAATGCACCAGTCAAATTTTCATTTAACTCATTGATAACTATGTCTTCTAGAAAGTTTTTGATTACCCTTTTTTTTTTGCAAAGTTCTATGAATTTTTTATGTGTTAGATAGTCGTTTTATAATTGAACCTATAAGTTTTAGACTGGAAAAATCTGATGTTCATTATTAGAATGTTCAATCTTCATAATAGTTCTTTGTAACTCTTTGCAAAGGAGCAATTATTAGGCAGTGTAAAGAAAATGACGTAGTGGTGAACTTATCAGAAAAATGGTAAGTAAGCTCACTTCCACGACAACATTTTATCACTCATGTCCCCAATTTCCAAGTAGATTTAAAACAGTGATATTCTGCGATTTTTGAAAAAAAAATTCATCATCAACAGATTGGATTTGTTCGTGCATTTAATATCATTATCCTATCAGCAATGTCAGTTGCTATCCTCATCAAAGTTCTAAGACATTTTTAATAAACTTTTGTTTCTCTGAAAATTTGCTCAAAAACTAGAGTTTCTATTACGTTTTGCTCAGTGTGATCATCGTAACAATACGAAAAATTGCGGAAATAATCTCTGCGACGTTTCTAATAATATGACTGTACGAAGAATGCATAATAAAGTGACATAGTTCGTTGTTCCGGAACATTTCCAGCATTGATATCACAATGAAAGAAAAATTGTGGATCTAAATGTAAGCATATATTTTAATAAGAGAAATCAAAGTTTGATGAGTTTCGAAGGTAGCTTTTCTTTCTTATAATTGTTACCTTAATTGGCTCCTTTAATTCCTTATACGGAACACTGGTTTATGGCAAAGGTGCATTCTTAGAGTGATAAAAAACGGAAGAGATTATTTGAAAGGTTAGTTGAACAAACAGCTAACAGCTAACAAACGAGATTAGCTGCATAAAGAAGTGGTCTTTAATTTAAGTTTGGCGATTGAACTGGAAAATATTAGCAATAAAACAGGAAGAAATTATCAACATGTTTGTTCCCTGTCGCACATATTCTTCGTTAACAAATTGTAACATTTTAAACAATGCATATGGTTCAGTTATAATTAAATGAATTTTACATGGTTTTGGATGCTATACTCTAGAAAGAAATTATATTTGTTTAAGAAATATTCAAATAAGACATCTTATGGATTTAATACCGGCATATTATGATTCAGTTTTTCCGACAAGGCTTATTCCAACTGTACTCTTCAATATTTGCAAACCTTCAGGAAAATGGAAAATTGGAACAAATCGAATTGCATGAAATACTGTATTTGCATCAAATAACTGATCAAACATTTTCATAGTGTACATAGAATAAAGTGATCAATTCCCTTGTCACTTATTTGTCATCGAATTACTGCGATGTCGGGTAAAATTAAATTTTCTTTGTCTTTTTTTTATTCATTAAATTTAGCATTTTCTTCTGCAGCAAAATAGAGGTACTAATATTTTCATTCCAACACATTTGTTTATTTATAAAATATTAAGGTCAAGTAGTTACTGCATTTCAAATTAACCTAATCAAATGATTCAGGAATCCCTCAAAGTGACCTCGAACTAGTTATAAGTTTGAATTAACCACTCTTTTTATAAATGATTGAAGATCAAAGTAAATAAAAATTTCTGCAGGAAGGAATAAAAAACAATTCTTTAATTAATTAATAACTGATGATACGGTATTGTGTCTACGGTAAATTTCTGAAATGAAAGAAATAATTTTGTTATAAATCATTCTATATATATGTAGAGAGAGAGAGAGAAATGAATATCTGCAGAAAATCCGAGTTACAAAAGTGATTCTGCAGCGTAACATGATTTCACAAAAATAATTCTGCATAAGCCATCTCGAAAAGATCTCCTCCATCGCTATAGACAAATGTATAAAAGTCAAAGTATCATTCTGCTAATAATTTCATACAGTCCAACTAAACACTGAATTCCATTCAAACCAATCAAATTCCACCCAAAATGCAAATTCGTTACATGATGTTTTGAGCTACTTAAATTTATCAGAAATTTGTTAATAAATTTCGGAGGTAATTATTTCAGATTCAGTCCGTTTTACAGTATAATTCAATCAAATGCCAAAAATTGTCAGTGGTAATGGTAAATGGAAAATGGTGAATATTCCTGGTGAATGTATTATTGATGAGAATTTCACATTTCTTTCATCATTTGAAGAATACATACCGATGCCGATCGGAGAACATAATGATGGAAAGAATGCAATGGTATATTTCTTTTTTTTTTTTAGTTGCTTTTGGTTTATACAACATATATTATAAAATGAGGTGCTAATATTTGTTATAATGGGAAAGATGTTGTAGGTTTAAAATATGAATTTATTACCTTGAATCATTCAAATATTGTAGGAAACTATTCGAATTAATTAAGATTTGATACCGTTTTGAAGACTATGAATTGTTGAGACAACTATTAATGCAGTTTTTTCTTCTTTTTCTACAGTATTAAGGTTGAAAAAGTGGTATGGAATTGTTTACTTTTAGTAGTAGTATGATAAGAGAATACCACTAATTTTTTTATCACATCAATTTTCTTATGTTTGTTTCTTCGTTCCTTTCCATATTTATTCTATTAATTTTTTGGTTGAAAAATTGTAGAAGAAGAAGAACGCGAAAAAGAGAAAAGTAACTGATGCACTTGATAAATCTGAAACAAATGATGACCACACATTAAAAACGATGAATAATAAAAAAGGAAAAGAGCTGGAGAAATTTAATGAGACTGTGGTTACAAAGCAGGTAGATTTATATGAGTAAAGATCAAGTTATGTTGATAGGATTTTTTAAGGAAAAGAATGTAAATTATGTAAATTATTATGTCATATAAATGTTTCTACTCGTTTTTCTGTCTAGTCCTACTTTTAATGGTATAAGTAAGAAGATTATATTAAAGTTACCAGGTTAATCCATTGAATGAGAAAAGTTTTCATGTAAATTCAGATGGTATTGCCATTTTAAAGGTTTCCATTGCGAAGAGTGAAGGAATAAATGGCAGCATTGGTTTTAATAATGAAGAAATTGGTATATATTTCTTTTTTGTTTCCATCTCTTAAAAACATTTCGTATTGGCATCTTTCATTTCTCGTGTTTCTTTTTCACCAGCATTAAAGAAACTTTTGAGCAATACACTGCTTTATCATGTTGCTATTTCAAGAATATGATTGCAGATGAGTTGCATGGAAAAAAAGGCGAGATTGCAGATATGTCGGGTTGGATAAATCTTTATATTTCTAATGCAGTTTTAAAAGCTATCGCTGATATGGGGTATTTTCCTATCACTTTTTAAATTTTTGGATTGCAGGACAATTGATGAATTTTTTGAAATATTATGTGGTAATAGTGATGTGAAATTGATACTATAAAATATTATAGGTTTACTGAGCCGACGGAAATACAAAAACTTGTCATACCAAGCGCTGTTAGAGATCGCTTTGATATTATTGGAGCGGCAGAGACGGTAAAGTTTGATTTTTTCTAGTTTTTTAACACTAGTCCATGGAAGTTTTTTGTTGATGGAAAGTTTATGAGTTTATTAGTTTAGTAAAAGATTATTTCCATCATATCTTCATTTGCAAGATGTCTCAGTTATTAATTGCTTCACTTATATTCCCAGAATGATCACATATTCTTATAACATGCTGTCCAATATAGCATGGTCTTAATCTCATGACGTGTGTGTGTAGTAGTTTGCTAGCATATAATAAGCATCTAATTAAGTGTTACCAATTCTTTCTTCGTTGATCGAATTTAGCTTTTATGCTTAACCATACATTTACAGGGAAGTGGGAAGACACTGGCGTTTGGTGTGCCTGTTGTTGAACATCTTTTAGCAAATCAGTCATTTCTGGAAAGCAGTGAACAAAAAAAGGGCATTAGAGCTCTCATTCTTGCGCCAACTCGGGAACTGGTAATGCAAATTAGGAACCACATCGATGCTTTGCTAAAGTATACTCCGTTCAAAGTAATTATTACGTTCTTTCCATAATTTGATTGGTTTAAGTTTTTATTTGATCCTATCTTGAACCATTCTTACTTCCCTGAAATAAAGTAAACAGCTTATGGTATTCGGTTTGCTTAAGATTATGTTGGGTAATAAAAAGTTGGGTAACTAGATTTTAAGTTATTTTTGTTACTTTTATTTTGCAGGTCGCATCTATTGTCGGTGGTCTTTCATTGCAAAAACAAGAGCGTATATTAAAATATGTACCCGAAATCGTTATTGCTACTCCAGGACGACTTTTAGCCTTAATGACATCAGCTGAAGCTGATAGCTGTCTTTCTGACTGGTCTCACTTACAATGTCTAGTAGTTGATGAAACTGATCGTATGATTGAAAAAGGACATTTTGAAGATCTGCAACATATTTTAGACACCCTAAGGAAGTGAGTATGTAAGATTTTCCATTAAAATATTGCTTAAAGTAGTGGGTTCTTTGTATAATGCAACTGAACGCTAAATATAGCCTAACATTGATTTTCCTAAGAAAGATAATATAATCAACTGCTTGTTCTATTCACTAATATTTTTGAAGAAATACATTAAGCCTTTACAGAAATACATCTAAAAAGCTCCAAACTTTTGTATTTTCTGCTACCCTTACCTATACTCACCCTGCGTCTAAAAAGCATGGTGATGTGAACGCTGATAAAATCGACACAGATGGAAAAATCAGTAAGTTCTTTCGAATTGTCAATTCTTATTGGTGTTAAGTCATCTTTTGCCAAAATAACATGATTATTTATATCTTTAGTGTGATACATTTGCACACTTGATATATCAATTATTAAGGTATTCATGAAATATTTCGTTTATTTTGCTTGTTCACTTTTTTTTGTTCATTTTCACTTGCAGATCGGTGATTTCTTATCTCTCTTCTTTAGGCAGATTGATTGAAATCACCGGAATACGAAAAGAAAAACACAGAATTATTGATATTACTGGTGAAAGAGGTACAGCTAAGACAGTCGTAGAAGCGCGGATTAACTGCAACAATTTATTGGAAAAGGTAAACTTCGTTGCGGATTACACTCTGTTTGGTTTCCGCCGATAATGATAATAATTTCTTTTATGCTACTTGTAAGCGTTGATTCAGGACACCAATCTCATATATCTATTAAATCGTTATGGTGGGCGAACATTAGTATTCACCAATTCAGTCGATGCATCTAGAAGATTGCATGGAATCTTAAAAAAGGTAAAACGAGATTTGTTTTCTTCTTTTTTCATAAGAATAGTTAAAAAAGAAACAAAGAATCATATTCTGACATGTTTTTATGTTCTTTCTTGTTACCTTTACTACTATGGTTTGATTATTTTCTAGCTTGAGCATAAACCTGTTCCACTAATGTTACATGCGAAAATGATGCAGAAGAAACGTTTAAAAAACCTGGAAAAGTTTGCTAGTAAGCCTTTATTTTTTTGTTTGATTTAAATTGATTCTTGCTGTAGTAGTGGTGGATTTTCAATATGAAAAATTTTGAATTTTTAGTGGAAGAAGATTCTGTTTTGCTTGCAACTGACGTAGCTGCGCGTGGTTTGGATATTCGAGATGTTCAACATGTCATTCATTATCAAATACCAAAAACTGCTGAAGTAAATTTTCAAGTTAAACGAATGATTGATTTAGATTTTGAAGTATCTTATTGATGTGATATCTATTAGAATTTATAATCTCAACCACTTGATGCTTTGCTCGATTATGATTGGTGATGTACCTGAAATGTGTTTGTTATACATCGTTCAGCAATTTCTCGAGCAAATGAATCAAAGTTCATTTGCTCGAGAAATTGTTATGAAGAATGATAAGAGTCTCGATCATTCTTCATAACAACGCTTACCATTCTCTATAACTTAATAGTAATGATATATAATAATATGTTTCACTATTTTCTATCTCTATAACTTTTATTTGTCTTGTAGCTTTACATCCATCGATGCGGTCGTACAGCACGTGCAACGAAGGAAGGACTTGCAATTTTACTTATCGATTCCCAAGATGTTTTTTATTACCAAAGAATTTGCAGAAATTTGAATAGAGGTTAGTTAATGTTTCTTGTTTTCATTTGATTTGGAATTTTTCGTGAAGTGATTAGTCAGGAAATTGAATATTATGACATTAATTTTACTAAGAAATTTTAGCTCGGAAATTTCATAAGTGGGTAACTAAGGAATCAAATATTGTAGGATTACTTCTGCTTATATTCCTATATCTTTCTCCTTGTGTTAGAATTTCTGTAAATAAATTTTTAGAGTTTTCAAAAGAAACTGTTTCAAAATGTTGATATTCAAATAAAGATGTACCAATTTCGAAAATTTTATTGAAATATGAATCAGTGTTAACGAAAAAACGTTTGAATTTAGAGAAAGAATTTCCTATATTTCCACTCGATTCACCTGAACTATATGCCGTTTTGAAAAAACGAGTTGAAGTTGCAACAGCAGTCGAAGCGTTAGATCATAGACTGAAGAAGGTGAAGATTAACAAACGAAATTTTTTTTCAAAAACTTTTCGGTAATATCCGTATTTTATCTCATCTCCTTATCCAAATATATTATTATGCAATAGTAATTTTGGAAATATTTCATGATTTGCTTGCATTATATATAAATTTTAATATTTACTTATTAGTTGGTTCATTTGTATGTAGATTTTATTCTAGGTTAATTTCTTAGCATCTTTGTTCCAACAACGGACAAACAAATAGTCTTTATTTTCCATAATATATACTTGTATGTGCAATCGATACAATTGCTTGCATAAATTTATAGATGCATTCTAAGCAGACATGGTTTGAGAAAGCAGCAGCAAGTGCAGATTTGGATTTGGATGGAAGGTCTGTGTTTATTTTTTTATTTTCCATTTTTTTTTTTAAAAATGATCGTTATGATTTAGCTTTTCGTTTAAGTTTGAAGGAGAGATTTCTGTTTGTATTGCATTATTCAAAAAATATATCCAACAGTAATTTTGTATTGAATTTTAAAATAAGATTGGAATTTGACTTTTTTTCATGGAAATAAGCTTTTAAAATGAAAAATGTAGATTCTGATAGTGGTAAAGAAAATTCCAATGTGATGTACTTTGTATTGTTAATTGTAAGTTTTTGTTAGATATTGTTGTGGTCATTAGTTCCTTGTTAATTTACATAAAAAATTAATTTCTTTAGTTAGAGGAATTAACAGAGTGTTTTCGTCTTTGTTGAGAAGAAGATGCTGATTTTCTTGATGCTGATTTTTATTTAGTGGATACAAAAAGAACGCTACGGCAGAAATGATTGAAGATCTGCGAAAAGAAAAGAAAGCATTGTTGACCCAGTTGAATCGTTTATTATCACAGTCACTGCCAGCCCATTACGTTCATGTCAAGGTAGGATTTTTCTCATGAACATGAAACTCCTCGTTACTGATTACTGACGTTGTTTTCGTAATGGTATTTAGTGAGTGATAAAATTTTTGATATAAATAAGGTATTGAAATGAAATATACACTTCATTGTTCTTGTTACATTGCTTTAAACTGTTTTGAAAATTTCGTATTTCTTTGTATTCATAGTTTATGCTTTGTATAAAGACAGTAATTCGGTTATATTCTACCAAAATGTGTAACAATTATTTAACTTTTGGTAATTTATCGATTTTTCCTTTTTAGAAAACTCGCTACGTGACTGCGGAGATAGCCTCAAATTACGGCAAATCATCGACACAAAGTGCAATTGCATCATTGACTGAAAATATGGCGCATGAGGAACTGTTGAAGAAGAAATGTAGAAGTGTTTTTGTGCGCCATCTCAATACCTCACGAAAGAAAAGAAAAGAAATAAAAAGATGAGATTCTGCTAAATAATATATTTTTCGTTTAATTCGTTTAGTTTAACTACTAAAGAATGGGAAGTGGATAACATCACTATCTTCTTCCGTCTTTTTTTTTTTTTTTTTTTTTTTTATTCCATTTTAGATCATATTTTCCACTAAAACTTAGCACTTTCTAATTTGATGGAACTGAATTTTAGAAATGACTGCTTATGACAGTCGTTGGTATGTTCATTTGCATTTTCATAGTAGCGATTATATAGGAAGTAGTATATTCTTGCTGAGATTCAGCAATCACATTTAGTAAGCAGGTTCATTTGACATCGCTATCATATATATATTAGCAAGACATTATCAGATAATGCTTAGAAAATGCTCATTTTTTCATCATTTCTTATTGAAAAAAATCGGATAAAATGGACAGAAGAAAAATGTGAAGTTAAAATTTTTTGATGTGATGGTAGAAATATTCAAGCGTAGTATGTATCGTGTTTATCAAGTGAATTGTTGATTTTATTCATAGTTTTCAGCCAACAACAGTTGTATTCTAATTGTTGATTTCTTTTGTTTCAAATTTAAAATATTATATTAATGAAAAAAAAAAAAAAAATGAAAATATTGAGTTCAACTTGTTGCTTCTTCTGTCAACAGCAATAATTAATCATGTATATTTTACCTTTTTTTTTCGTGTGGAATTTTTCCATGAAAAAAAAATTTCTTTTTTGTAGAATTTTAGATAATTTGGTTTTTTGGAACTTTTTTTTTTTAATTATACAGAATTGTAGGTAAAAATTGGAAGAAACGTTTAATCAACATGAAAGGAATATGTAAATGAAGCAATAGAAACAAATAGGATAGGAAGAGAGTGAGATGGGTAGACGAGTGAATGTCTGGTGGGTATCTATGGTTGCCAAAAATGATGAGACAGATGAATGGGATAAATATGGAGACGATAATAATGTGATAAGACGCTGTTTAAGAAAATAATAAAGCAACAGGGAGAGAGATAATGAAAAGTGGTACGTTGTAGTGTTCTTTGCAATGTTTTTTCAAGTTCGGAAAACAGGATCATGTAAAATTTTACATCACTTTTTTTTTGTTTAATAGTTCCTTATTGTAAGTGATAAAAACAAAAGATAAGGAGTATGACGAGAAAAACAGTGATAAGGTAAATAATGTTGAGATATGTATAATAAAGTAAGCATGAAATAAGAATGAGGGAAAAAGTGATTTTCTTTTTCTTTTTTTTGAAAAGGAAAGAAAAATAAGAAAAGATTGGTAGGTTTGCATAGATGCACGAAAGAGCAATTGACTGGGTCAAAAATTCAAATAAATCAAAATAGTTCTTCAATATTTTTGCAACTTCATTTTACTGCTTTCTTAACTGATTCAAAGCTTGCGTTCCGAAAAACCTGAAGCAAGTAATGGTTGCACATTATTCTGATTATAACAATTTTTGATGTATGCAGAAAAATATATTTATTTATTTATTTAAATCATTTATATTTTGGCGTGTGTTTGTTGTAAAATTTCTTGAAAAATAAAACATTATGTGATAAAATTGTAGCATACTTTAATTTTATGTAATAATTATCCGACAAATAGAACGCATGAAAAGACGGCAATCAGAATAAAATTGCATATTTATCTTATTTTCTCTCTTTCCCTCCATTAATTCTTTTATTTTATGAAATTACATTTATTCGTTTCCTATCATTCGGCTAATTTTTCATATAATATTTTAATATAGGAACGATATGTAGTTATCATAATATTGTTACACCTCTTATTTTATAGAAAAGAATTTAAAAAATTACCAGACAGTTCTTTCCTTTTTTCTTCCATTACATAATAAATATATTACAGGTAATTAAAAATGTATTGCAATGAATAAGTTTCGATATGAAGTACGATGAAATTGGATTAAGTTTAAAAAATAGAGTTAAATTTCAACCTTTCATTTTACCTCTTCTTCATCTTTTCCTTTTCTTCCTTTATAATTATTCACCATATAAATTTATAACATTTATTAGTATCATACAGCTAGACTGTTAACAAACGAGGATTAAAGAGAATGAATTTACAGCATTTAAAAATGATGTGCATGTCATCATGCTAATAACATGCATGCTATCATGCTAATGACATGCATGCTATCATGCTAATAACATGCATGCTATCATGCAATTGTGCAGACAATATGCATGCCATGTATATATGTGAGTAAAATCTGATAAACTGCTTATACCACATCAATTAGGTATCATAATTTTCTATTATTAGAATAATATTTGTGATAGCGGGAAATCATAACACTGCACTGCTGATAACAATTCAATAATAGACGAAGTGATAAGGATCTTATCAAAAATGCGATCCAAATAACGTCAAAAATCCAATTTCTTTCAACATTTTTATTTTTTATTCTTGCATAATTAGTAACTTAATTAAAAAATAATTTTAAAAAATGATTTATAATCAGTTGTAAAGATGCGAAAAAAAAATTCACTTAATTTAGTTAAAATGGTTATCAATGAATTGCCATGGATAATGTGTGTGTTTGTAACGTTATAAGTTTAATTTATAAGTATATTGTTAATAAGTAATAATGATAGTTGGTGATGTATTGGCTTAAGTCATAAAATCATTTTGTAATTAGTTGATAAAAATAAGGAAAACTTCTAGAAAAAATAAAAATTTCCGAATATCTGCATCACAATACAAAAATTCTTATGATGAACCGATATGGATAAAAAATTTTCAAAGGTTACCAAAAAGAAAATTAAATAAAAGCATTTTCACATATTTTAATGATGACTTTTAAAAATATAAATTTATTTTTTATGTAATCAAAAACCAACTACTTAAATTAAAACAAAAATATTTTTAATATATTTGTTTTTTATAATGATTTTTTTCTCTTGTTCTGTTCTCTTTTCTCTTAATTATTTGTAATCCTAATTTACTGTTCAGTAAGAATGATAAAATTACTGTGAAAGATTTCCTTTCCCACATTAATCATCATTCATTATCGTTATTGTTAAATCAATTTATAGAGTGAAATTTTATTCCTTATTATATTTTTCAAATAATATATTTGAAATTTCAATTAAATCAAAATTTAATTTGGCCTTTAAACTTTCCAATTACGCTTTTTCTCATTTTTTTTTTCGTTTTTAAAATAATTTTATAAACTATGTGCAAATATCATAGCGTAATTTTTTTTTGTATTTGATTCTATTGCACAACAAGCAAATTGGTGAATAGACATGGAAGAAAAAAGACGAAGAATTTTTCATCTAAAAATTATTTGTTCTTCTTTTGATGGAAAAAAAGCAAACAAATAAATTTATTAGTAAAATGCTTGCCTAAAATATTTATGTAATTTGCTTTAAAACAAGGAATATTTTATAAATTATTGTTGCTAAGGCAAATTATGATTGAAAAAGTGAAAGAAAAAAAAAACAAATGAAAATATTATTTAATGATGACTTTTTTATTTTTATTTTAAATTTCTTTAAAAAAATGTCAGATTTATTTTCAGTTACCAAATTAGTCCTTATCAGCATTCATTTATGTTCCGTTTCTGATATGTTTTATTTTATCAATGTAATAATATTCATTAACTGTTGTTAATAATAATTCGTAATTACATTACATTAACTAAAATAATTTTTTATTTTACATATATATTTGAACTTCTCTGTCGATCGAATCAATGTATAATCCTAATGCCAATGAATATTTTCATTTTTCTTTTCCTAATAAAGTTTTTCATTTTTTATCAGTGATTTTGATTAAATGATATATGTATGGTTTGTATATATTTGACATTTAATTTCTAAATTATTATACTTGGATATTACGCGAGGATAAAATTTTGGATTTTTGAAAAATTTATATTAAGAAAATTGATTCATTTAAATTAAATTATATAATTTTCAGTAGAAAATTTCCAATTTTTAATTGAAGAAATAAAGAATTATTTGAAAATTTTCAAAGAGAAGAAAAAGAAGAGAGATTAATACAATTTTGATAAATGATAGTAAATAGATTGTGATATTGTTTGAATGTAAAAAGAGTGAAATGAAGTTAAAATGACATCTGCTTGTTCGAAATGATGCTAAAGAGTGATAAATAGTGGAGGAAAAAAAGAAGCTGATTATTTGGGGTGATTGAAATTAAAGTAGAGATGGTAGAAAGGATGAAGCGCTAGGGAGAAGGAGGATGGAAAAAAAATTTAAATTACTACTACTACTACTACTACTACTACTACTACTACTACTACTACTACTACTACTACTACTACTACTACTACTACTACTACTACTACTACTACTACTACTACTAACTACTACTACTATACTACTACTACTACTACTACTACTACTACTACTACACTACTACTACTACTACTATACTACTACTACTACTACTACTACTACTACTACTACTACTACTACTACTACTACTACTACTACTACTACTACTACTACTACTACTACTACGATAATCAATAATATTACTACTACTACTACTACTACTACTACTACTACTACTACTACTTACTATACTACTACTTTTACTAATATTATTACTACTATTACTACTTCTACTACTACTACTACTACTACTACTACCACTACTACTACTACTACTACTTCTACTACTATAACTACTACTACAACTACTAATAATAACTACTACTACTACTACTACTACTACTACTACTACTACTACTACTACTACTACTACTACTACTACTACTACTACTACTACTACTACTACTACTACTACTACTACTACTATAGATAAAATATTTAAATTGATTTAAAATGGAATTAAATATTAAGAATTAGTTAATTAGTAATGAACTGGTATATACCCATTACGGCATATTTAATAACTTTATTTCAATGTTGTGTGCAAATATTCCTTTTTTATTTTAATTACCATTTATTTTTATTTATTCAGTTGCATTATTATGAAATAATATCGTTTTTTTTTTTCGATTTTTAA